TGTAATTATCAGGAAATATCATTATTTTCTGTACTCTAAAGACATTTCAAGCAATAAAAGGCAGAATTATCCCATTTTGTTGAGATTTTGCTGAAAGTGTGCTCTACAAGATGTTAAAACGTCCCGGTAGGCTACACATAAATGTTTTCCTTGGTACCCAAACAAGACTTCCTGGAAAAAAAAAAAAAACCCAGTTTCTAAGGTATTTAAGTGAATCATAGACCTTACCCAGCATGCCATTGTAATACCTGCTCTTTGCTTTAATGAAGATTTAAGTCATAAATGTAAAAAAAAATGCTTACTGCTATGCAGTAAATTGGACTTAATTACCTGCACATTGACGATTAGAGGACAGGATGTAGGAATTAGCCCATTCCTCCAGTGACTAAAGGCCCAGATTTGTGTTCATGGAAGTCAGGAGGTTTTTATTAACCCTATATATATCCCCATGAGAAGGACACTCAGAACAAGAGACAGTTTTGGAGATTCAGCAGAAGGCGACGGACAGATAAAGAAGAGTGATTGACACCCCTTTTTTAACCTTTAAACCATCAGATTATATCCAAAGATAGATAGTGCCAAATTCGTATTAGGTCTCTTTTTCTCTCTGACCACAACCATCTAACCTTTTTGAGATCAATATAAGTTTTGTTTCCCAAGAAGTGATGTTTACCAATCACAAGAAACCTTTAACTGTTATCTTCCTGTAGAGGAACTAGTACTACATTCTGAAGCAGTTGGTGGAAAGTTTTTCTCTTCTCACTGTGGTTGGTTCCTCAGACCAGCTAACTCTCACAATTCTTTAAAGGTGATTGCAAGATTTCTGATGCCTTTTTGAGGTTTCCTGTGAGAGGAGACAGCGCTGATCCGTTGCTTAGAGTAATCACCACACATAGATGCAAACATACACACACAGTCTCTTAGGCAACACTGTAAAAACAGTGCTTTCTACAGGGCAGCAACTGGGGTGGAAACTAACTGTGTAGCTGTTTCTTGTGAATCAATCCTTCATACTGGTTTTATTGGTGTTTTTTTATGCACAGTTTTTTTCACAAACACCTCATACCAACAGTCAAGGCTTGGATGATTTGGGCTTGTGTTGAAGCCAAAGAACCTGGGCATCTTGTATCTTGTGGCAACCATGAACTCCTCAGTATACAAAAGTAATCTAGTCTTGAAAACTTGAAGATATTTTGTAAATCTAGAACAGTCCTTGTGGTTGCGGTTTTGAGTGGGACTCGCGGGTTTGCTGTGTGTACGTGCAAGTACGCTCACCTAGATTGCTAGAAGCCCAGGAAACCGTCCTCACAAACAAGCATTCATACACACACTTAAACTCTTGCTTTGATCTGAGGCGTTGTAAAAGGGACTGGTGAAAGTGACTCATTTTTTCCAGTAAGACTCATTAATTGGTTGCTGGAGGATAGTGAGCCACATCTGCTGTAAGTGGTTCAACCGTCGGGCTGGCTCGGTGAAGCCTCTTTCTCGGGAAACTGACTGACCTGAATGTGGCCTTTTAGCTCTGTCCTTCTGACGCTGAAATGTAGAGGAAGTGCTCAGACATGACGCGTCTTTGTTTGTGGGTTTGATTTTGGGTTAGGGTGTGTGTCTCTTTCAGGATGCATAACCATTTACATTTTGATGTGTGATCTGTAGTGTTTTCCAGTGAAGAGGCTGAACATTTTCTCGGTATCAGACGCATTGATGATTCCAGCTCACTGATCAAACATTGCAAGGTGATGAGTGTAGGTTTCAGTGGTGTGAAAGGGTTAGTTTTCGTTTTTTTGTTAAATTCATGTGGTGTATATGAATAAAATCCATTATAAATCTGTTTTTAATTGTTATGACATCAAGAATTGATTTGTATTTATTTTTAATAATATTTTAAAAACATTTTAAGTCACTTTATTGTCTAGTTTGTATGGAAGCTTGTTTCCGCCACAAAATAAAACATTTTAAAAAATGACTGCGATCTTTTATCTCACAATTGCTAGTTTACATCTCGCAATTCTGACTTTATTTCTGCGAGATAAACTCAGAATAGCGTGATATAAAGTCTCAATTGCATTATAAAGTCAAAATTGTACGATTTTAACATTTTAAATGACGCAACTTTTGCAACTCTGCAACTTTTAAATCACGCAATTTTGACTTTATAACACGCAATTCTAACTCTGCAACTTTAAATCGCGCAATTCTGACTTTATAACACGCAACATTAAATCACGCAATTATGACTTTATAACACGCAATTCTAACTCTGCAACTTTAAATCGCGCAATTCTGACTTTATAACACGCAACGTTAAATCACGCAATTATGACTTTATAACATGCAATTCTAACTCTGAAACTTTAAATCACGCAATTATGACTTTATAACACGCAATTTTATCTCTGCAACTTTAAATCACACAATTCTGACTTTATAACACGCAACATTAAATCACGCAATTCTGACTTTATAACATGCAATTCTAACTCTGAAACTTTAAATCACGCAATTATGACTTTATAACACGCAATTCTAACTCTGCAACTTTAAATCACACAATTCTGACTTTATAACACACAACATTAAATCACGCAATTATGACTTTATAACATGCAATTCTAACTCTGCAACTTTAAATCACGCAATTCTGACTTTATAACATACAATTTTAACTCTCCAACTTTAAATCACACAATTCTGACTTTATAACATGCAACTTTAAATCACGCAATTCTGACTTTATAACATGCAACTTTAAATCACGCAATTATGACTTTATAATATGCAATTCTAACTCTCCAACTTTAAATCACACAATTTTGACTTTATAACACGCAACTTTAAATCACGCAATTCTGACTTTATAACATGCAATTCTAACTCTGTAACTTTAAATCACGCAATTCTGACTTTATAACATGCAACTTTAAATCACGCAATTCTGACTTTATAACATGCAATTCTAACTCTGTAACTTTAAATCACGCAATTCTGACTTTATAACATGCAACTTTAAATCACGCAATTCTGACTTTATAACATGCAATTTTAACTCTCCAACTTTAAATCACACAATTTTGACTTTATAACACGCAACTTTAAATCACGCAATTCTGACTTTATAACACAACTTTTAATCACGCAATTCTGACTTTATAACTCGTAATTTAGATTTTTTTTATCACGTAATTGGGAGAAAAAAAGGCAGAATTGTGAGATAAAAAGTCACAATTACCTTTTTGATTGTATTATTTCATTAAATAGGGCTGTGTAAAAAATACATTTATGAATTTGACATTTTTACCCCCAAAAAATGTAATTCACAATTTAAGCCCTCTGTTTCTCCTGTACTTTGTCTTGCATGTTGTTGATGTAAGCTAGTGTGTCACAGTCTGTTCCCATGTTCATTAAAATTCTCATTCCCTCTCATCTTTTGGTTTATATACACAGCAAGTGTGGCAATTACTGTATCCTATTTATTCAGAAATGAATCAAAAATCTGCACATTTATGCAAATAGTCACTGATTTGAAAAGTTAGTAATGGAATGAACAACAAAGTGACACATGACAAAGAAAAAATGGCAGGTCTGTTATTTTGCATTTACATTCCAAGACAGATCATTTGACGTTTCGTTCTGTCCATCGCTCACTGTCCATTACCTATTTATCACTGTCAGTCAGATTCAATCGCGCATTTAAATACCATTGTCAATCCAGAAACATTGCAATGTGTGCTAAGATGACACAAGCAACCATTGGTGTTTTCAGCCGGCTGTACCCCATTGACTCTGAGGTGTCGAATAATACAACTGAATATGAGCGTCAGTCCTGCTACCCTGTCGAACCACAGTTCTGCTTTACGTAACACATTTGACACATTCACTGGAACCTTTACTCTTTTTTTTCTTTGCTGAATAATTGGGGTGGGAACTTTTTCAGAGGGGAAGACCAATTTTTGGGATAGCAGCACAGGCACACATTGCTTAATGAACAATATTGTGTGTGTTTTAATAAGAGAATGGCTGAGGATGGGGAAAGCTGATGAGAGTGCCTGGATAAAGGCTTTGTAATCTCAGAAGCTGCGTGTGACCCACAAGGCTATTGCCGGGCCGCTGTCACACTTTTTTGACAGCATATTAATAGGGATTTGTGCCCCAGATGTCTGCCAGCACAGCATCGTCTGTCCGTAGCTCTGTCACTCCATTCTGCCATTCTTGCTTTGTATGCAAACCTGTCAGGAACGGGGGAATCACTCTGGCTATGGGGAATTTAGTTCTCATTCTTCCCAGCTTGAGCTTGAGCTGACAGTTTGGGAAGGTTTTGTTCAAATGATCCTCCTTATTTTATTGAATTTTAAGTAGTACTAAATATGCAGTCTTCATTAAACTTCTTTTTAATACATTAGCATTAAGTAATATTGGAACAATCTTAAAATAACAGCATATAACTGTTCCATTGGCATCAAGGAATAGATGTGTGACCCTCTGCATGTTTGAACGTTATTTTGAAATGTAAGATAAACAGGGGAAAACATTTTTATGTCATATTGTATAAGCTGCAACATTCCTCTTTTTTCCCTTCATGTAGTTCTCATGGCAAATTAGAACATCTGTGTTTAGATGAGTTGACAGCACCACCTTGTGGCTGGAAAAAAACAACCTTTTCCTGCCATTGTAATATGAACTTTATTAGATTATTTACTAATAAAGTTAGTATATTAACATTTATGTATTTTTTATATCATTTTATAATATATATTTATATTATATTTATTTATGTATTGTAATATTATTTTAAATAATTGCAATTTAATTTTGTATTATTTGTTTACAATGTATATTTTAATCATATTTATTGTATATACTGTTAATTGTAAATAATTATCAACAAATATAACAGTTGTTGGAACTTACTTTGTAACTGTTGTATCAATTTATGCATGTTTAATTTATAATATTATGTTTCTGAAATAAGGTTCCTGATCGTTCTTCTTTTTGCATTTCAGGTATACTCTTTTCCACACTAGTGTTTGGACCTGCGTGTGGTTTCATCCTGGGATCTGTCTGTACTAACTTTTATGTGGATGTTTTGCTCATCGACACAAGTGAGTTTCAGGTCATTCTCTGGTTATCCAAATACAGAAAACTGCTGCAAAGCATTTTGTTTTCTTACCGATTTGATTTAAAAATCGATTTGATTTAAAAATAGAGTTGGTAGGTCAAATTTATTCATATTTTCAAAAAATCTATTTTTTATAAATAATTTGGATGTTATAGAAAGGGTTTGCCTTTGCAATTTTGTTTATGGTGATGCACTTTGATTAAATACAATAAATATATATTTTTAAAATATATTTACAGGTCGCAGTTATTTCTTTTTAAATGGAATGGGGGGAAATCGAATCAAATCGTAAATTGAGTTTTTTATTTTTTAAAAATCACAGATTTTTTTTAGGGGAAAAAAAACGCCCAGATCTAGCGACAATGCTCTTGAATTTTTTGAATAATTGAAACTGTCATGATCAATAATCAATGAGTGGATCAACTGAAAAAGAAAAGTACAAAGAATTTGGTTTCCTTTTACACATCAATTAGACACGTTCACACTAAGGATGCACATTCTGATACACTTTTAAACTAAAAATAAGGAAGTATACTTTCAGTCTACTTTTTATGTACTTCATGGAAATATAATTACAATTACACTTAAGGACACTTAACTTGTACTGACAGAAAAGTCTATTTGGACAATAATTGTACTCAATCTTTTGATTGAAATACTGTAAGTACTTGAAAGTATAATTATGTATTCTGAGTATTATTTAGCCTATTAAATACTTCTTTCACATAGTTTTACATATTGTCTTGGTGTCTTATAAACTTTTTGTTGAAAATATTGATTTATAAAGAAAACAAATGTTCTTATTTCTGATTATAAATTTTTGTATAGTCCTCTTTACTTCAAATCTACTTAAAGTACAATTAAAGGTATATTTCCAGGATAAAAATTATAACCTAAATAGAAACGTTGTAGTATACAAGTGCAAAATAAGGTATAATATAAAAAAGTATGATATTAAGTTCGCTTAAAGAAAACTTACCAGTATATTTGCAGTATAAAACTATTAAACTAGTTTACAGAGAGTATACTTCAAAGTGTACTTTCTAAAAAATGTGCTAGAAGTATTTTTTTTACGACCGCTAGGGTTCGGCCGTAACAGGAAAAGGAAAGAGTCTCACTACCAGAGAGATATCGAATACATATTATTCAGAATACATACAGTATATTGTTTATTTCCAAAAGGGTTTAGCGTCTGGGGCAGACAAGGCCAAAATAACAATCAAAAACAATCTTTTGTGTAACCTCTACAATTTCAAAAAGATCAAAAACAAGACAGAATGAAATCATGGAACAAATGACTCGAGCACATAACAAGTATTTAACTAAACTATAAGTATTACTATAAGTTCACTTGTAGTATAGTTGCAAAACGAATCAAACAGGATATTTACTGTTTCACTTAAAAGTATACTTTTAAACACTAAAAAGTGGGCCAATTTAGTCCCAAATATTGAAATTGGACACTTACAAGTATACTACTAGTACATTGATATTAGTATATAAAGTATACCTAAAATATACTTAATCAACTGAACTTGAAGTATACCTATCTTTTGTAAAGGATTCAGCTACACCTGACACATCGCATCAAATATAGCCATGAAATGCGGGGGAGACAAAAAAAACTTTAGTAGAATAAGTTGTACTGAATAGCTTAATAGCTCAGTTTTGATGTCAGATGTCTGTGAATTGCATCATGTACTGTATTATGTTTTGCAGTATTAGAATTGGGTTTTCAAAAAAGTGACTACATATGTGAGAGAATTTTCATTCCTCTACATATTATCTATTTATGTATTTATTTACCATCAGGTGTGCTGAACATCACTCCAGATGACCCCCGCTGGATCGGTGCATGGTGGGGCGGCTTTCTCCTCTGCGGTGCCTTACTCTTCTTCTCGTCCATCTTCATGTTTGGTTTCCCCCAGTCCCTGCCCTGCAAGGAGATGGAGGGAGTTCTTGAGATTGAACAGGCCATGCTGCCCTCATCTTTACCCCAGGATTATGACAAATCCAAGGCCAGCAATGGAGTCCTGCAGAACCACCAGCCCAACAACCTGTCCTGCTGTCAACAGCTCCGAGGTCTCAGTAACTCAAATTCACCATGTGATGTTCTATGCACTCGTTTTGAGATTAGTCTGCTTTGTCTGAGTAAGGTTACACTTGTCTTTAAAGGATAAGAAGAAATGCTTGTGACAAACACTGATGGTGGTCTTTTGTTTGAATAGCAGCAAGCATATGTTAAATTGAAGGCTTGGTCTTCTTAGATCCGTTTAAAGGGTTAGTTCACCCAAAAATGAAAATTAAGTCATTAATTACTCACCCCCATGCTGTTCCAACCCCGTAAGACCTTTGTTCGTCTTCGGAACACAAATGAAGATATTTTTGATTAAATTTGAGAGCTGTATAACTACCACATTGGCTCCTAAGGGACTGCCTCTTGACG